GTTTTAGCCACACTGAAATTTTGACAACTATTGGATGTATTGCCTTGAGAGTTTGCATTGACAGTCACCTTTTCCAGAGGAATGCTGATGATCTGATTTCTCCTCTAGTGCCACCACATTAGTAGTTTTGAGTGAAGTCTCACATCATTCAGATGCCTCCCTGATGGATAAGAATCTAAAACGCCTTCATCTGTATGCCACTTGCTAACAGATCAGCACCTTCAGTGTATATGGTCTGGTCTAAATGATTGTTTCACTACATTTAATTAGTACAACATTAATTACAAATCATTCCACTGAACAATCAAGGGCATTTTACCCTAGAATTCATAAGCATGCAGTAGTGGCTGGGTAGAGTATTATAGTGGATCTTTGACTGTGGCTAAATGGCTGCAAAGGCTGCATTTGATTTCTGTGAGTATTCCCAAGAGATGCAGCAGCTCTGTTAAACGTCTCGAGTCATCAGACTAACAACCAGAGTCACAAAAAGAATGCAGGATGCAATTTGTCCTCTAGTAACAATATGACAGTTGCTGTTGAGCTTGAAGCTCATTCAGCATTTGTGTCTTTTGGGTCCCATCATGGAATCAATTGCCTAAATGGCTTAAAATGAAAATCTTTGGCCAACATTGTTTCAATATTTATTGACATCAACCTTGAGGCACTGGACTGCATTGTCTGCTGCAGTGATTCAAATCAAAATATCAACAGGGAATTGATGGGGACATGTGAGTTTTATCTGAAACAGCAGTTTGCAGGGCAGCTAACTGTGAGATGTGTTAGATAAGCAGATAACAAGATGGCTTGTGAGTTTCATCTGTTATAAGAGACAATCTTTTTAGTGACTGAAAACCAGTCAAATGTACTTAAACGTACACTTGCATCACAAGCTAAAATTTGCTTTTTGAATCAGGTCAGTGAAATCAAGTGAGAAGACTGTACTGCTGCTTCTCATGCCCCAGTGTGCCATGGCAGTAATTAAGTTCCAGCTTAATTAAGGGTTACTAATTAAGTAAAAGAAATATCATAAAAATTAATAAATTGTTATATTTATAACATTGTACTGTAGATAATTAAACATTGAACTGAGGTAAAAACCTATTTTTGGTCTTTGCTCAAAGCATTGCTGGATTTATGTAGCATTTTGCACTCTTATTTTGGAAAGGCATTTAAAGCTGGCTTTTCTAATCATTTCCCACATTTCACTTGTGCAATACCTTACATTATTTTGCTGCCATTATTATCAATAGGGCACCAAATTATTAAATAACTTATTTTCTGGATGCCATGCACTGACACTAATTACAGTGCAACAGAGCATAACCAGCAGAGATGAAAAAGGAGCATTCAGGGACCATCTGGTGAGCATTTTAGACACAGCTCTTGCAGTCAAGTATTTGATTGTACCTGCTGTTGCTGTTTTTCAGAGTTAGTGCCAGGACAAAAAGTGGTTCACAGGGATTCATACTGGTCCTCAAATGGCTGCCAATGCTTCCAGAATGTGGGTTTACATCGCTGATGCATTGTCTGAAAGTAGTTAAGAATTTGCTGGACTAGATCAACCTGACATTAGATATCTGGTCATTCTCTGTTATTCTGGGGGACATTTTTATTCCATGTGTTCATGCCTCATTTCAAAACTGAAATGCAGGGGTGCATATTGTATATTGTACATGAAAGGGATGGCAAGCGTTTATCTTTCAAGTCATATTCATATGCTGTGAGTAGCAGTGATGCCATATCCTGCCATGGACTGTCAAAACGTTCAGGTGGTGATCACCAGATGTTGACAGTGAACAGCATGTGTTTTGAAGCCACAACTGCTGCAACAGGTTCTAACTGTTGAGCTGTTGTTTTTTGTGACCTGTTGATGAGTTGTAGTAAAATCCTCAAAATGTCATCATTTAGCTAAAAGCTACCAAACTGCACTTGGCATGTATTACTTTTCTCTTAAAAGAAAGAAGTTGATTTTTACTTGAGTCACATGGGTTTTATGCTTGATTACCTTCCTTACGTTTTGTGTTAATTGTACTGTAATTTATTTATGGGATACTGACAAAGTTATTATGAGTATCTGAGTAATATTAACTTCCAAGAAACTTCCCTCATATCTCAAAACTAGTTTGATAGGAGTAGGCTTGTTGTTACTGAGGCCTTCACACATCAGTGATGCAGCCGGTATCATCCAGCAGATGGAGTCCTTAAACTGCAGCTGTAGTTTATATACCCAAATCTACTGCTGTTCAGCTGTCCTCATAAGGTTCATCTGCAATGCTTGGAAGGGAAATCAACCCTAAAGTCAGTCATTTGAACATAAAAAAACAAAATAGGCCACTGAGGTTTGCTCACTGATGCTCACAGCACGCAGTGATACAGCCTTTGTCACACATGGTTATTAAGGCCATCAGAAATAAAGTATTTATAGTGCATTTAAGTGTTTACTATCTGAAACCATATTTCAGCCCTGTTTTCAACTCACAGTGTAATTACTGTTTTCATTCTGAGAGCTGAGAGGCTCCTATTAGTTTTGAATATAAGAAATTGTTTGTCTAACTATTTATTCAGCCCAAACTTTACCTTATAATGATAATGAAAACTTTTTTAAAAATAGTTTTTTATTGTCCTGCCCATGTTGGGGCTAACCCTAACCCTTATACCTAACCCTGGGTAGTCTTAGTTTTCTAATGAAATTCAGAAAAGTTTAAATTGTACTCAAACAGTTTTCATTCAAACAATAAGATAATGAATGCCAATAAGAGTTACAATTATAACAAATAAATAAATGTTCTAACTAAAGGTTACTTTGCTCAATAGACTCATCAAACACCTTGTCATGATGTTATAAAATATTCTTTTTAGGTTTAGGCTATATGATGATATTTAAAAAAACCCATCTCTTTCATTCATATGTGGCATTGTAAATAAGTCTTGTCCATAGATTGCATTATACACTCCGCTGCCAGTTTATTACGGGTTGTTATTTTGTCCACCTAATTTATTTCAATGAGCCAAGGCTATAACAGAAACAGCTGTCTGTATAACACGGTAAAATATATTATAGTTGAATTACCTCTGAAATAGCCTGAACAAAAACTGAACATTATCGCCCTCATGAAGGAGAATTTACTGTAGGATTGTTGGATTAGGCTGCATTAGATTTAGTTAGGTGTAACGTGTCTAAAAGCGGACAACTGATGGTACAGTGTAGCCTACAGACTATTTTGCTCCAGTGAGTAGATGGTTGATATTACGGCAAGCAAGAAGGACAATTTAACAAGAACGCGAATCTGCCCGATCGCTACCACAGATAAGAAGATAATCTAGGTCGCCGCCTAAAAAGAGACGTGGCTGATTGAAGCATAGCGCCATTAAAGCCGAGGGAAATTAGCAAAAATGGCGCCAGGCCGTTTTTGAGATTTGTGTTGCCGGTTACCAGGCTGACAATGCGAGCTTCCCATTGTAGTCTTTAGAATAGATTATGAATCTGACATACTACAGTGTATTAGCAATACACTTATTCGTTCAAAAAGTGTAAAGCTAGAGTGCTAATTCAGTCTTTGGTCTTAAGAGCTTGGCTACTGACAAAAAATACATCCGCTCTACTTGTCGTTCCCAGGCATTTTGTTTCTCTCTCTCTCTTTTTTTTCTATTCTCTTTTTTGCCATGCGTGATACTGGCCATTATTTTCATCTGTAGCGCAAACATGTAAACCACTAAACCAGACCGCAGCAGTCCCCATAGTAACAGAGGAGAGGGTGGGCATCACAAAAGGCACAGAGACACACGATGATTCAGGCCCGTGGAGCTCATATCCCAAGTTGTATGCAATGTTTTAGTACTAAAAGCCAACATCACACATCATATAAGACAATACTATTTCATGCAAAAGACTGAAACCTGAGAAATTACTATTGGCCCCAGTGTCTTAAGAGCAGTGGTACAGTCCACCCTCATAAGGAAATCTTCACCAGTGGCTTCTCCCTCCCTCCATCTGGCAAGTACCACTCACTGCCAAAGGGGTGATCCTATCCATACACCACAAATCTAGTGTTCATTGTGGTAGAATTGCAGTGCACTGGACTGTACAGAGCAGGGTACCATCCAGGCTGTTGTCTATAAGGGGTGGGGTCCGGCTATACTGATACCACCAAGCATAAGCTGTCAGAGGGACATAGAGAAGCAGAAAAAGGGAGAAAAAAGAGGGGGGAAGATTGCACCTGAAGAGGAATATAATACGGGTAAGGAGAAAAGGGGGTGGGTGGAGGGAGAAGGAAAAAGACAATGGAGAAAGGTCCAGAATGGTTCAAATAGATTCACTCCTTTGCTGCTCTGCTTTTTCCCCCCATTGGCAATCAATCTGAGTCAACTCTATTTTTTCTTCAGTTAGTGTATATGTATATTTTTTCATCATTTCATTGATGTCTGTCTGGCTGCAATGCTTGTTTCAATCTACATTTGATATTTGTGTGGCTTTTCTTGCTCGTAGTGGGGGATTTGGTGGACCATGGTAAATAAATCTGACTGTTTGGCCCAGTTTATATGTTTCTTTAAAAAATGTTTTTGTTCTTATTTGTTCCCAAATTAGATGACATAATGTAGCTGCTGTGCCAATTCTATGACACAGTACAGATTTATTTAGATATTTATGGCTCCAAGCTAGCTTAACTGCCAGATCTGCCAAAACATATAAATAAGTTATAAAAAATTATGATTTTTATAGCTTTTATTATGTATTATATTGCTATATAATGTCTTAAAACTCTTTGTTCACATATACATTAGTATAGTTCATTTGATCCACCACGCAAAACTAAATCTGCTATCAGTGAATCAATAAACATTTCAGTCCACTTACTGCAACCTATAAATGTTAATAATATATATTTTTGAAAATACATTTAAAGAGTTACAACTTATTCATTTAAAAAATAAATGCAAAAATGTACTGGAAGTGTTTCCCTCGACTTCAGATCAGTAAATGTTGCTGTGTTTGTGGCTAGGATGAAAGGAGACACCCCAGTGAACAGCACCATGAGCGTCGGCCAAGCCAGGAAACTGGTGGAGCAACTGAAGATAGAGGCTAGTTTCTGCAGGATAAAGGTAAGACAAGCTTAATATCTCAGAGCACATATGATACGAAAGTAACAACAATTAATAAACTGGATGAAATATAGTTTTCAATCTTAATTTGGCTTTTTGTCAAGATAAAACTATAAATCTAAGTCCAGATATTATACTGTGACACACTGAAATCTTATGTTAGGTTCCAGTGTTACAGAAGGTCAAGTGCATGTCCATATAATAATAATAATAATAATTGATAATGTTGCACAAACAAACTTGTCTTTAGTTCAAAGGAGTCGTTATTTTTCAGTTGCTCCAGTTTTGTACATTTTGTATAAAGCTTCAAATCAAAGTTGTTTGCAGATGTAGAAGAACAGCAGTGACCTTCTCAGGTGCACTTTAAAGTCATTGCTTCCCTGCAAATGGTCTTGGCTTCTATCATGTTTCTAATGGCATCAAAGACATCTCACAGAGGCACTTTGCTTCTTTAAACATCAGTTAAAAGTTAAGCAGAGGACAAACCTTAAAATGGTAATGACATGATTTGTTTTTTTGTAAGTTGTTGTCTCCTCCGGTAGAGCATAACTTAAGCTCTGCGTAAAAAAAGTTAGTTTGAACCATTTTTTTCAGAGATGTAATGTTTCCTCCTGCACAGACTTGGCAGACAGACAGAAACATTTCCTTCTGCTAACAACAAGAACTTGACGAGAATCTGCTTGAATTCCATAAATAGATGTAAAACTGATGAGAGAAATAAAATCTAATGTATAACATATTTTAAACATACTGAGCCACTAAAGGTGAAACTTTATATTATATATAAAGACTGTATAAAAATACATAACATTATGAAGCAAACACTGACATTTGTAGACTAAATGAAGATTTAGTTTTCAGATATATTTATATATTCTATATATATATGTGTATGTATATATATATATTATTGTCTTGATTGCATATTTTTTCCTCATGTTCTGTGACTCCTGAGATTTTGCAGCCACAGGTATCCGGTTTTCTTCAAACGGACCAATATCTTTCATCCTCTTAGAATTATTATTTATAGTAGCATATTCATCTAGACACACTTAAAATTTAAACTTTTTTCCAGCTTTGGTAGACAAATGTTCAATCCAATTTGTACAGTACATACAGTAATCTAGCTTTGAGCAAAAGGGAAACCTCTGAATCTGACTGCATCTTCATCTTTTAAGACTCTTCATGAGCCAAATTTGACCAAAATCATTCCAACTCACTTCTATGTCCAGACAGAGACTTAAAACTCAGGAATCAGAATCAGAATCTGCTTTATTGGCCAGGTGTGTCAGACACATGAGGAATTTGACTCTGGTACATCGGTTCTCAATGTGCATGTACATATCCCCATGCAAGGAGCAGGTAAACAGTAAACCAGCATAAGACTGTGTAATATAACAAAATAAGATGTATTAACAAGCAACAAACGGTGCAAACAATTCAAAATAAGCTGTATAAACAGGCAGGAAACAATGCAGACAGACAAAGGAATGCTCATTGTGAAATGAGATAAATAGGAAAAACACAGTACTTAAAACTAGAGACCTGTACAAGTCTGTATAATCTGTACAATGTATATATTGCACTGAGGGTAATTGTCCAGTCATACTGTCGTGGGTTAAGTGTTCATCAGGGTGACAGCCTGGGGGAAGAAACTGTCCCTGTACCTGGTTGTCTTAGTGCACAGTGACCTGTAACGCCGTCCAGAGGGGAGGAGTTCACTTCAGACCACTTCAGGTCCTGGGAGATAGTGGAGCCCAGGAACTTGTAGGACTTTACTGCTGATACAGTGCTGTCAAGTATGGTGAGGGGGGGTAAGGTGGGGGGGTTTCCTGAATGTGTTTAAAATTAACTGGTTAGGTTTTTTAAGGGAGACTCTCATTAGTATGAGATGTTATTAGGACAGCAGACCATCTACAATGGCATGCATGGGCATCAAACAGAAACAAAGGAATTAATGCTGGGAAAACTGAAAGACTGCACTGATGGTTTTCATGAGGGTGATATAAGCAGTGGGTACCAGTGTGTCTGTTACTGCTTACTTAATACTTCTCTTACAAAAAAAAAATTATCACAGATAGTCTTCACAACACAAAGACAACCGGGATGAGGCTTTCCAATAAGTAAAAATCTCTGATATCCTTGTTAAAAGGAGAGAAACTGTGCACTTGTGAATATCATAAAGGTTTCTCTATGGAGGACTTTAGTCAGTGGTGGAAAGCAACCAAGTACAGTTCTGAGGTAGTATCTGTACTTTACTTGGGTATTTTCTTTTTGTGCTACTTCATACTCGGGGACAGCTGTGGCTCAGGAGGTAGAGCGGGTCGTTTCCTAATTTGTCCAGTCAACATGTTGAAGTGTCCTTAAGCAAGACACTGAACCCCCAGTTGCTGCCGGTGATGACACCGGTGTGTGAATGTGTGAGTGTTTGGGAGTGTGAATGGGTGAATGGCCAAATAGTGTGAAAGTTCTTTCTTTGAGTGTGCTGTAAAGCATAGAAAAGCATTACACAAGTATAAAACCATTACTTTGACTTCACTACACTTTTGTACTTTTTACTCAACCACATTATTTGATAACTTTAGTTACTTTTCATAATCAGATTAACTATACAAAATACAATTATCTGACTTCATTGATCCCTAGTGGGATAATACACAAAATACCCAGCAGTACTTCAAATCAAAAGCATATTTAAAATAAGCGCCACCTTTACCAGCTGCAGCATTAAATGTAATGTTCACAATAATGTGTCAATAATTATTCCAATAATTTAATATGTATTAATATGAAATGTGCTATTTTGCATAATGAGTACTTTTACGGTGTTTTTGTATTTTTACTTAACATTTGAATGCAGGACATTTGCTTGTTCCAGAGTATTGTTAGACTGTGGTATTGTTACTTTTACTGAAGTAACCAATTTGAGTATTTCTTCCACCACTGAGTTTAGTTCGTATGGTCTCTAAATGCACCTCACCCACTGACAAGAGAATGGTCAAATGAATACAACCAAACTGTGAAATCTGACTTTATATCTGCCATGGACTGATGTTCATGAACTGCTCTAAATGTGGCCATCCTCACCTCCAGGTATCAAAGGCAGCGGCCGACCTGATGGCATACTGCGATGCACATGCCTGTGATGACCCCCTGATCACCCCTGTGCCCACCTCAGAGAACCCTTTCAGGGAGAAGAAATTCTTCTGTGCTCTGCTTTGAGACAAATCAGGGATTGTTGTGATTAAAAAGTACAACTGTACAGTATGTACATGTGTGTACAGTGTGTACATGTACTTCCAGTCAAAATAAGACATCAATGTACTATAGTAACCTACATAAGAGCTGCCGATGTACAGTAACTACAAAATGTATTGAAGTAAATTTGTTAACTGCTAATCTCGGTCAATGACAAAAGGGCAAGAACAAAATTAACATGGGAATTTGAAACCAAATCTAAACATTAAATGAATAAAGAGTCAAAAGTTTTCACTATGAAGACCCAAAATAGGAAAGAAAGGAAATTTAAAGAACAGCTATCATCTGTTTGAAAACATTTCATGCTCATATACATATACTACAGGTACCTGCCACCAAGGACGCATGCTGAGCATCAAGTGTCTTAACAGGCTCCACCAGTCACAGGCACACAGTTATATGGATTCTGCAGCATTTGAAATGTTTTACTGGGATGCTAAATTCACACAACAGGTCTATGGATTATGGTGGTGCTATGTTACTCAGATGCTGCTGATAGGACAGGGCTGTCACTTCTTCCCATATAAACTGTCCATACATTCGAGATCTGGCGACTCAAATGTACTGTATGTGGGGGAAAGACAAGCCTATGTTCGGTAATGAAGGATGACATTTCCCATCAGCGACACTGGTTCCATTTGGTAACTGCTTGGAGATGGAGATAATACCAGCCTTCTTCCATCACAGTAGAAATGCTTCACTTACAGTTGGAGGTCTTTATGCAGAACATTTAACCAACATTTCGATTGTTCTTTTGAGCCACATCTCATCTATTGTTAGTTTATTTTGTATTCTTTGATCACTGGTGTCTCCTGTTTTGGCACTTATACCTACCAATATCAGCAGCTGTTAATGAGTGGATTATAACCATATAAGCAGTTTCTTTCAATGTTTTACTGAGATTTTAGCATTTTGCTCATTTCTACACTGTTGCTATAGTGTGGGTGTGGAAGTGTGTGTGCACATAGGTGCTACTGTGAAATTTAAGCAACAACTCTCAGCATCTGATCACAAAATTTTATATCTCAATAGCACACTGATAACCCCCCAATATTTATAAAAACATTCCAGGGGTTATGGACATTCAATATACAGTCTAAGGCATTGGAGAAAAATCAGCTGTTTGGTTACTATGAGTCTGGCTAATGAACCATTTTCTATTTCTTTAAAGCAAAAAACTCAATACAGGAGTTATACTGGTGTACATCATCATTTGTTCTGATCACATCTGAGAGGTTCTCTGGAGCAGAGGTTCTTCAACAGTTCCCAGAAAAAATCCAAAACAGCCTAATGACCTATTTTAATTAAATGTTTCACTTTATCCATGGCTATTTCTCCATCTACACTACAGACAATTGCCAAGCTCAGTTATATCATAAAACCCAAAACAGGAGGCTATGCTTCTTCTAGCATCTTTGATATGAAACTTTTGGGAACCCCTGCTCTGGACCATTTCAACAATTAACTGTTTTTTTAAGTCTTACGAATATCATATTTGGAGCCTGTGTGGAGAAAGTGTATCCATGAAATATGAAAGACTGAAATAAATCCCCCTGTTCATCAAAGATTTTCTCTAATTAGTGATTTGATTAGATGAAAATGGAATCTTGAAAAAATATGTATTAAAACAAAACAAAATATCCTTGTCTCTTATTCTTTAATAAGGACAGCAATATAAGACCTGAAGTGTTCACACAGTCAAGTGCAAAGACATCAGGCAATGGTTCCATCTTCATAAAGCTGGTGGCTGCAAACAATAATCAGTGACATACCCTTGACATGCACTACTGTAGATTTTATAGTTCATCTGACTAAATACAATGTTTAAGCTAGCATGCATTAAGGCATCTCACAATCAAAGATAATATCCAGCTCAGCTGTGACTACCCAACATAAACTGAGCTTATTGGGTGCTACATAGTGTAGGTGGCATTCTGGCCTTGTCTTCATTTAAAGCCACTGGAAACTCAGAACACAGATTCTCCCATTTAGTGGTAAATGAGACCTTTCTAATAGATTGGACAGGTTCTTGATTTTCAGAATGAGAAATAAGTTCAGCTTCTATTGAAGCTTCAGATGCAGTAAATTCTATTACAGTGCAGCATATCAACTAAACTGTTCACTGACACTATGCCTATTGTTGTATCATGGTTATTGGTTCTGATCAGAATTGCTTCCATGTTTTTTCACATCAGTCTGAATGTTTGTCATACCTCAGACAGATAAAACACGCTTCATTTACTAAGACCACTAGCGGGACAATCTAACATGGTAGTAGACATTTTGTATGCATGCGGTTCACATTTCATTTAAACCTCGTCATAGCTGGCTGTTAAGGTCCTCAGTAGTGCTCAGACAAGAGCTGGATAAGTGGCATTTATAATAGTCAGTCAGTATTTAAGTTAAATGAGGTTTACCTATTATGTGAACCATCACTGCAAAAAAAAAGTCCAACTTAAGGCCTGTTATGTAAACGTAGCTTCAGACAGTGTTCGAGTTTGTTACATCAGCAACTTTATTTACAAACACTTTCATCTTCAGGGTCCAACAAGCTCTGAGCAGATCACAAGACGGGAATCATTTTTCTTCTTTATTTCAGAATCAAAATGTTAAAAAAAAAATCCGTCTCTGCACAAACCTGTGTCACATTAGGTTAGCGCTTTAATTATGTATCACACATCAATCAGATCCTATGCAAGACAACAAATGGACAATGTGCCTCTTCAAGAAATTATTTAAACAGTGTTGGTGGGGAAGTGTACATGATACTAAACTGTGATATGGTATTAAAAAAATGCAGCTTATATCAACTTTGCAAGGGCTTTAAAAACAGAGCAAAGGGCAGGAAGCCCAAGAGTTGAAGGAGAGTACAAACATTAGCCTGGATTGTACTGGTCACACTCACATTACACAGAAAGAAAAACGTGTTCTGAACTGAAACGCAAAGCTTTTCTGAAGGTAAAATGTTTCAAAAAAAGAACTGGCAGGCAACACTGAGCTTAAAAATGTCAATTCTCAGTAACACAATCAGCAGTGAACGATTATTTTAAAATTTGGCCTTAAATAGAAGGTACAGAATGAGTAAGACTCCCCCCCCCATACAGATCCTTGTTAGACACTTCTGACAGCAGACAATTTGACTTGTCAAACGTTGGGTGTAACAACACGAATAAAGGCAACATTACATTTAGGTGTCCTGGTGTCACAGCCATCAATAATATTATCAGTTAAGCCTTTGACTATGACAAGTCAAAAAAAAAGAAAGGGGCTACTGACAGTGAGTAAATGTTACAATAAATGTCACAATGTGATTATAACAGCAATTTAGAGAAAGAAGACATTGGAAATCAGTCTACACCAAACCTGTCAAAGATCACGGGAAGGGTGTGTGTGAATTGTTCTTTTGGGGGTGGGGTGGGGGCATCGTGGGATCTCAGAAAAACACTAACAGCTTTCAGTGTAATTTAAAACAAGCTGATGTAAATAAACCTCAGTGGCTACAGTGCTCATTCCTGTGTATGATGGAGTTTGGATTTGTAAAGCAGAAAACAATGAGTGAGTGTTTTATAGGAAGGCATCACACCATTCTTTAAGACAGCCACAGCAGTCACCTTGTTGTTTGGAATTAGCCCCACAAGTGTCCTTCAGCCAGTCCCGGAAAAGCTCCTCATCTTTCTTTAGCACTAGAAACTGTCCAAGGACAACATACGCCTGTGGAGGTAGAGATGAACACACAATGGAAATCCAAGTAAGATGGGAATGCAAGTGTTAAAGGACTCCCCACATCAACAGCCCTGATGCCAACACATCTGAACTTGGGGGAAAAAAAGCAAACAGTGTACAGTACAATAAAACCAGACCTTAAGCAAGACACGTTACTCACATGCACAAAAATTCCAAAGTAACACCCAGATACATTTGATGCGTCTGCTGTAAGATGAAGCAACTTCACTGTTAAAATTTCTCTGTCACTAAAAATAATGACAAATAACTTGATAATGTGATGGTGCAGAGGTTATATTAAATGAATATTTTTTTCAATAATGACAGAAAAATCTGAAGGCTGTATCACTGACAGATTACAACACAGAGGGTGATCTAAACTAACTGAAAGCTACACTACTAAAAAGCCCAAATAATTGCTATGGTGTTGACAAACAAGGTGTAAAAAAGAGGAACTAATGCGGTGGATGAAGGACAACTGATACCGCACTCAATGTATTCTGTTATCTGGGAGCTGACAGTGCGTTGAACAGCCACAGACTGGAGGCCACGGTCTGTGTCTATGACAGGTTCCAGAGGGGTACAGATGCGTCTCTGGCGCAGAAGCAGCGCGTGCTGAAGTGAATGTTTAAGGACTGAGAAATCCCGGGTTCGGAGCAACTTCTAAACAGTTTGCGAGAGAAATGTTCCCTGACTTCAAAACTTTGGCTGAAGTGGAGCTGACAGGTCCAGTGCAGCAGCAGAGTGAGGGTTCAGCTTTCAGATCAAATTATAACGGGCGTGAGAAATTGTCTACCTGAAGACGCAAAACATTTTCCTCCTCAGCAGGCTAGGTTACAGCAGGTCAGCTGATTTCAATTCAGTTAGCCTAACTTCATGTAAACGGGTTGTTCATATTTTAATGGTAATTGTCCAATTTTATAAAATTGCAATGTTCATATTTACTAATTAACACGCAATGGCGGTAGTGTTTTTGAGTGGCCTCTGCTGTTACAGTGGAAAAAAATCTGCTTCATGTGGTATTGGCATGAAAAGTGGCTGCACATAAGCTTGTTCCATATAACTGTTGTGGGAAAATGAAATAAAACTAATTTGCAAAATAAAGGTGCAAAAACAAATTTACAGCTATTAATAAATTATGATGGAATTTTTATGACTCTGTTCATCAAAAATGACAAATAAGAACATCTAGCGTGGCCTCTAGATGGGTGGATGAAGTCTTAAGATGATTTGCGGCTTTCAAAGCTTAGAGAGGGCTCAAACAATGCAAGCACCAAAACACCTGGTGGCCTATAAAACATCTAACAGCCTTTAAAGACTGGAGCTGAAGCATTAGAACATGTCACTGATCTCAGGAGTTCAGCCAAGAAGCATGTGTGTTACTGATAAAGCTAAAATATTGTAGTTTTGCATTTAATATAGATGTTATTGTGCAATGTTACACTAAAATAATTGATACATGGGCCAAAAAGCCTAGATATAAAATACTGCTGCTGATAACAAATAGTGATGTACCCCATTAATGTAGTTAAGGCCCAGTGTCACTGATGATCTTTAACTTCATGGCTGATATTTATGTAACATTTCACAAGACAAAATGTGTTGTGAATGGAGAAGGGTATTCAAAGAAGCAAGCAATTATTTTTATTACATTATTACTTGCTATCCAGGTTCTTATTTTTAGTGGTTATTCTCAATTATTCTCCTCTTCTTAACTCACTAATG